AGCTGAAGGTCATCCTGTTGGAGCAAGAGAAAGGGAAAAGGAATCAGCTGAGAACTCATGACCACTCCTTCATTCCAATGCTCTCTAGATCAATGGTCTCCAACCTTGGCAACTTTAAGACCTGTGGACTTCAACTCCCAGAGTTCCTCAGCCAGCTTTGCTGGCTGAGGAACTCTGGGAGTTGAAGTCCACAAGTCTTAAAGTTGCCAAGGTTGGAGATCACTGCTCTAGATCATCAGGAACTGGGAGGAAAAGAAGCAAACCAAGCAAGCATTTAGAAATGGGAGGTGTCTATGCAGATGTAAGTAGTCCTCAGCTTACTTCCATTTGTTCAGGGACCATTCAAAATTAGTGGTGCTGAAAAAATGAAAGCATCATCAATATTCAAAGCTCCAGCCCCTGCTATCACACAATCACGATCCAGGCACTATAGCACCCTGCTTGTGATTATAACCTCACAGGGAACCGTGTGATCACCATTTGCAACCTTCCCTGCCAGCTTCTGATAAGCAAAGTCAATGGAGAAGCCAACAGGAAAGGTCACAAATCCCTCTGGTAAGTCTGTGTGGCCTGCAGTGGGTCTCCCAAACCCTCCCCCAGCCTCCCTTGACCCACAGGCAGCCTATGCTGGGCTTCTCCAGTCCTTCACCAATATCCCTTGACTCCTGTGTGGCCTATGCCATGCCTCCCAAATTCACTCCACCTTCCCGCAATCTTACCTGGGACTCCCACCACTTTCTTTGCACCCTAGGAGAGAAAAACGTGCCGCTACCTAGGATTGAACTCTTAACCTTCCAAATGGGAGGTGAGAGTCTTTACCATTAGGCCACTACGCTGCTCATGGAAAATGTCTAACAATGTTTACAATCTATATAGAAGTTGCTGTACTTTTAAGGCTTCTCTTCCATGCTTCACCCAGGTCTTGCTGGAAGGCAACCAATGTCAGGTAACACTCTACAAAACTTCTAGATGAGATTAAACTGCAGTTTCCATCGCTCCTGTCATTCTGGAGGGGGAGAGGAGAACATGGCAATTGGGACCAGGATTGACCCCACTAAGTGATGTAATCCAGGAAGTCCCAGTTGCCATTGTCACCCCAAGACATGCAGGATGTTAAGTGGAAAGCAATGGGAATCCCAGGTAAGAAGCATGAGAATGCCCCCCCCCCCAGGTGGAGGAGGTCCTGTGTTGGTCTCATGTAAATTGGGGAAGGGGGGATGCAACAGTGGTGCACAAGCACAAGGAGGCCAAGGGAAGAAATGTGAGATCTACACTAGTGCAGGGAGGCCAATGGAAAGAGGGCATAGCAGAATGCGCAGGAAAGCAAAGGGGGAATTGCCAGAGCAACTTGCAAATTTCCCTGTCCGCCTTCCCATTGATTTTGCTTGTGGGAAACTGGCAGGGAAGGTTGCAAATGGTGATCATATGACTGCAGGGCACTGCAACTATTGTAAGCACGATTTGATTGAAAACATCTGGACCAGTCGCAAATACCACTTGTTCATTCACAACTTTAAACAGAAATTGAATGAGTGACTTGTAAGCAAGGACTAGCTATATACCTGTATTATCCCATGTCGTATATTTTATAATGAAAAACAAGAAATTCAGTACTAAAAACTAGATACAGCCATTTAGCAGCTACCTTGTTTAGCAATTGTTCACAACTACAATGATAATAACAAAAAAATAATCATTTTTCTGACCAATGAGCGTACTTACTTTCTGACCAAATTTCATGTGTCTGCCAATAACACACACTGGTGAGCTGTACAAGAAAACTTTATCTAAATGAGACCTCAAGAACCAGCCTTTGCAGCCTCTCTTTTTCTCTGCAACGTATTCGCTTAACAACAATTTTGTTTCTGAGATAAGAAATTAATTTCAATCACTAAACATGGAGAGAGTGCACTTGCTGAATTTTGATTCATACATAAAGAAATGACCCTATTTGCTTATTTTTAATAGCATCCAAAAATTAGAAAAAAGCAATTTCTGCAATAGCAATAGGTTTACCTTCCATTTTGTTGTAGCACGCTTGAAAACGCCATGGATTCTTTGCACAATTGAATATTCAATCTCTTCTTTCTTAAACGAATATCCAATGCGCTAAAGGAAAAGAACAGAGCTGTCATGGGTACAGATTTTAAAATCTCCATACGCTTTTTCAAATGATCAGTCCCTGGGTAACTTACCAGTCTTCGTGTCTTAATCAGTTCCAAGAGGTTGATTTCATACTGCGAGAAAAAAAGATCAACAATAATTCAAGGATTACCGTGCTGAATAGATTGTCACTGCCAAGCTTTACATTTTTAGCATTTCTTGAACACATAACAGCTACAAGTGAAGCACATTGAAGCAAGTGAAGCAATTAATCAAGAATTACTCTAATCCCCCATTCAATAAATTAATAGCAAAGTAATTTTTGAATGCTCATTCTTAGGCAGCCAAGTACTATCAGAGCTGGCAGCAGATTCAGGCAGTGAGGAGGTTGGGGAGGAACATGGGCCAGTCCTGGAGTCTGGGGAAGGCTTTTACAAGTGCTCTGTGTTGGAGGCAGAGATGGGGCCAGGGCTGTCCGACAGTTATCAGCTGCCTTCACAGTCAGACATCAGTGAGGCAGATAAACAGCTGGAGCCTGTTCCCAGTGTGCGCATGTGCAGAGTTGTCAGGAGAAGGGAACAGCTAAAGAACAGGGGTCGACTTGGGAATAAGGCCACAGGTGACGATGAATGGCCCCTTCCAGAGGGAAAAAAAGAGGAGCGAAAGGGGAGTGGAGTTTGCAGGAAACAATTAGTTCACTTAATTGGTTTGTAACTTTCTGAGACTCCTTGACAAGTTTTGCAGATATCAGCCTGTCAGCTGTCTAAGCCAGATACTGTCTGTGACTAAATCCTCTCTTGAAAGATTTGTTGGATGTAAGTGAGCAGAATTCACAGTAAATTAATAAAAGGGGTTTTTGTCTGAACCAGGAGCTTGCTTCATGCTCTTGGGAAGCCTCGGTCAGAACAATATCCACACTAATGAAGGTATTTGCAAGATGGAGAGAAGCCCAAGATTTACTGTCCTGATCTTTCCTGGCAAGTACTAATACCATTTGGGAAACCCCAAAGTTTGCAGAAGGCTAAGAAGTAAATGGAATGAGGGGATCAACCAGCAGTCTCAAAAGATACTATGTGATCAACAGCCTGATCAAAAGTACAGGTAGTCCTCAACTTACAACAGTTCATTTAATGACCATTCAAAATTACAATGGCACTGAAACAAGTGACTTACAATCGTTTTTCACACTTCTGACTGTTGCAGCATTCCCCATGGTCACATGATTTACACTGGGATACTTGACAACTGGTTCATATTTATGACGGTCGCAGTGACTGGGGTCATGCGAACACTTTTTTGCAACCTTCTGACAAGCAGAGACAATGGGGAAGCCAGATTCACTTAACAACCATGTTACCGTACTAATTTAACAACTGCAGTGATTCACTTAACAAATGTGACAAGAAAAGTTCTAAAGTGGGGCAAAGCTCACTTTAACAACATGAATTTTGGGCTCAATTGTGATCGTAAGTTGAAGACCACCTGTAATTCACACTGTAAGATGTAGTTGTTACCCCCATTTATAATCATTCGGAATTCTAAAATAAAGAAGTGTAACAATTCAGCTTACATTGAATTGTATTGTTTGGATTTCAGGCTTGCCACATTTTCTACTGTGGGAAAATGGGAGGGGGGATTATACAGAGTATGGGTGATATGTAGCCATAACAAAATTCCTTTTCAAAAAGTCAAGGTCGCCTTGTCCCTGTGCCTGGACGGATGTGGATGGAAGGACTCTTCCTTCGTGGCAATTATTTACTGGACCATGTGATGGGCTTCTGCGTGTTGGGGCAGGGTCTTGAACTTTCAACTGGGAAGCTTTCAGATTTGGGTTTTCCCAGATGTGCCAATATGACATCTCTAATAAAATGGAACTTTGAGGAAAGTCAAACCTCGGAGTCTTCTTTTGTTGGGGGTGTTACTTGGAACCCTGACATTGTTCAGGTTACTCACCTGCTTAGATCCCCATGCTTTGTTTGTTTTATTACATTTATATACTGTCCATGTCCCCAAGAGATTCTCTACTTAACAGATTCTCCAAAGGGGAGGTAAGGGAGAAGATAATAAGGTCTACCCAACATTCCCTGGCAGGCAAGTTTTGCTCTGCTTTCCTCAATCTACTTCCATCAGTCTGCAGCATGGCTCATTTGTATGAATGGATTTACATTTTCTGTATTCCTCTCCTAATAAGTATATTTAATGTAATACCATTTTATCCAATTAATAATCTGTTAGGCCTGCCACATCTCAAGTAATCTATTTGGTATAAGGAAGGATCATAGCTGAGTGACAAGTAATCTCTTCATAAACTCCCAGTGAAATACCTCTAGGTAGGACTGAAAGTCTGGAGAATAGTAACATTAAGCAATATTCAGCAAAGTGGGCCAACGGTTTGGTTGGGTGGAGGTTTCTTACATTTTTCACACACCTTCAGATCTTGCTGAATTTCAAACAGTCCTAGCAAATGTGGAATTTGGAATTCAATAAAAATCTGATGGGTCACACATTACCCATTCTAATATAGTTGCTTTCTCCTACCTCCTATCTTCATGGGTGTACAGATAATCCCCACAACCACAACTGAGCCAAAAATTTATGTTGCTAAGTGACACATTTGTTAACTGAGTTTGGCCCCATTTTACAATCTTTCTTGCCATAATTGTGAAGTGGCACACTGTTAGTATCACAGTTGTCAAGTGAATCTGACTTCCCCATTGATTTTGTTTGTCAGTAGGTTGCAAAATGTGATCACGTGACCTTGGGACACAGCAACAGTCTTAAAGCATGAACCAGTTGCCAAGCACCTGAATTTTGATCACAGGACTCTGGGGATGCTGCAGTGGTCATAAGTGTGAAAAATCGTCATAAGTGATTATGAGCCCTGATGACGCAGTGGTTAGAATGCAGTACTGCCGGATACTACTGCTGATTGCCTGCAATTTGGCAGTTCAAATCTCACCAGGCTCAAGGTTGACTCAGCCTTCCAGCCTTCTGAGGTGAGTAAAATGAGGACCCAGATTGTTGGGGACAATAGGCTGATTCTATAAACCAGTTAGAGAGGGCTGTAAAGCACTGTGAAGCGGTATATAAGTCTAAGTGCTGTTGCTAAGTCACTTTTTTCAGTGCCACTGTATCTTCAAATGGTCACTAAGTGAACTGATGTAAGTCAAGGACTACCGGTATAGAGCCCTCATCAATTATTCACAAAATTTGCTTTTAGAGTGGCAGGAGGCAACATTCCCTCTAATTTCTGACAAACCAAGCATTTGTGCACAAATCTATGAACCTGCACTGAAGATATAGAACTTTGTTGCAGCAAAGATCAGCAAAGTTATGAATACCACAAAATTGAGATTGGAGTCATTTGCCTTAACATCCTAATGACAGAATGCAATAGAATTCTGAAATAGGTCAGAACAAACAGATATTGCAGATTATGCAAAAAAAAACCATCTAAATCTAGAGCTGACAATTTGGGATATAGAGTCTCCTGCATGAGCAGGTGGTTGGACTAGAAGACCCCAAGGTCCCTTCTATATCCGTTATTCTGTGATTGATATAGGTAGTCCTCAACTCACAACCATTTATTTAATGACCATTCAAAGTTACAATGGCAGTGCAAAAAGTGAAATTTTTACACTTACAACTGTTGCAGCATTCCCAAGTTCACGTGATCAAAATTCAGGTGCCTGGCAACTGGCATGTATTTATAATACTTGCACAGGTCATGTGATCAACATTAATCTTCCCAGCCAGCTTTGGACAAGATTCTCTTAACAACTGCAGTGATTTGCTTAACAACTGTGACAAAAATGTTCTAAAATGAGATACAACTTACTTAACACCTTCCTTGCTTAGGAAAATAAATGTTGGGCTCAATTGTGGTCATAAATTGAGGACTACCCGTATGCATTCTCCCTACTGAGCGCCAAACTTCTAACTTAAAAAAAAGTCATGCAAAATAGTCTGAATTTACAATAGTTCCTTATTTTCCTAAAATCTCATGAAATGTAATTGATTTCAAATATGTTTTCTATTTTCAAAAATTTAAATGCTTTGGGAGGTTCCTGTGACATATCTGAACTAATGGAAAGTTTACCTTTCCCCTAAGTAACATTTTATCGCATCCCATTGCAGGTTCACTTTAAGAAAGAAACAATTTGAAGTAGTTAGTGGCAGAATAAACAATGTATCATAGATGCATTCATATCAACAGATAAAAATACACAGAAAAAGATCTGTGTGAGAAAACTACCTGTATGTAACTAATGAAGTCTTTCTTGTGAAGTGCTCTCCGCTGTATCTTATATTCAAGAGCTGAGACCTTCTTAATGACAGCCCTGCAAAAATAAAGGCAGAATCCTTTCGTTAGGTTAGATTTATTAGATTTATATGCCGCCCTTCTCCCAAGGACTCAGGGCGGCGTACAACATAAAAGAAAACACATATTACAAAAATTAAAAGGGACATTAAATAAAGTATCCCAAAAAAACCCCAATTGATATTTACAATAAAAATTTAAAAATTAAATTAAAATTAACAACTAAATTAATCCTATATTTTATTCTATTCA